CATTTGATTTCCCAAGGTAGAAATCTAATTTATTTACAATCAAATGCAACCATTTTGTACATCTCAGTGAGTCTGATACATTTGTGTACTCATGCCACCACCCCTACAGATGAAATACAAAACATTTCTGTCCCCTGGAATTTCCTATGTCCCATCATGTTCAGTCTTTCCCCCACTGCCCCATGATAGAACTCTCTGCTTTCTTCCTTGAAAGATTAGAATTTCTTTTCCAAAGTTTCATATAAATGGAACCATATAGTATAGTATATACTTTTTTTTAAGATTTTATTTTTATTAAAAAAAATTTTTTTTTAATTTTTTAATGTTTATTTATATTTGAGAAAGACAGAGCAGGAGTGGAGGAGGCACAGAGAGAGAGGGAGACACAGAATTCGAAGCAGGCTCCAGGCTTTGAGCTGTCAGCACAGAGCCCGACGCGGGGCTTGAACTCACGCACCGTGAGATCATGACCCGAGTCGAAGTCAGACACTTAACCGACTGAGCCACCCAGGCACCCCTAAAAAAAATTTTTTTTAACATTTATTATTTTTGAGAAACAGAACATGAGCACAGGACGCGCAGAGAAAGAATGGGAGACACAGAATCTGAAGCAGGCTCCAGGCTTGGAGCTGTCAGCGCAGAGCCGGAAGCAGAGCTCAAACTGATGAACTGTGAGATCATGACCTGAGCTGAAATCAGCCGCTTAACTGACTGAGCCCCTCAGGCGCCCCAAGATTTTATATTAAAGTAATCTCTATACTCAACATGGGACTTGAACTCAACAACCCCGAGAGCAAGAGTTATATGTTCTACTGACTGAACCAGCCAGGCACTCCAATATATATTTTCTTATGTCTCTTTTTTCATTAAGTGTAATGTTCTTGAGATCCATTCATGTTGTATGTATTAATAGCTTATCCCTTTTTATTGGTTAGTAGTAGTCCATTGTTTGTATATACCACAATCTATTCATCCATTCATCTGCTGATGGACATGGGATTATTTCCAGTTTAGGGTATCATGAATAAAACTGTTATAACATTCAAATATAAGTCTTTGTGTAGACTTTATGTATTTACATATTTGTCATGGGTAAATATCTAGGAGTGGTCACATGTAAGTATATGTTTAACTTTATAAGAAACTTTACAAGAAGCTGTTTTCTAAAGCAGTTGTACCATTTTACATTTCCATTAGCAATGGATTCCATTAAGCAATCCATTGCTCCACATATTTGCCAACCTTTTTATTATTACCAGCCCATTTAATTTTAGCTATTCTAGTGAGTTTGAGGTAGTATTTCATGGTAGTTTTAATTTTCATTTCCCTGAACACAAATAATGCTAAGCACATTTTCATATGTTTATTGGCTGTTCACATACCCTCTTTGATGGAGAGTTTAAATCTTTTGCCCATTTTTAATTTGTTTAGGTTTATTTATTATGAAAGAGAGAGAGAGAGAAGGAGAGAGAGAGAAAGAGCGAGCACAAGCCAGGGAGGGACAGAAAGAAGGAGAGACAGAATCCCAGGTAGGCTCCACACCATCAGCACAGAGTCTGATATTGGGCTCACCCATGACAATGAGATCATAACCTGAGCCAAAATCAAGAGTTGAACGTTTAACCAACTGAACCCACCCAGGCACCCCTGCCCATTTTTATTTTTTTTTATTTTTTTTATTTTTTTTTTAAATATTTTTATTTATTTCTAAGAGAGAGAGAGACAGCGTGAGCAGGGGAGGGTCAGAGAGAGAGGGAGTCACAGACTGAAACAGGCTCCAGGCTCTGAGCTGGCAGTCAGCACAGAGCCCGACGCGGGGCTCGAACCCACGAGCCGTGAGATCATGACCTAAGTGAAAGTCGGACGCTTAACCGACTAAGCCACCCAGGCGCCCCTCCCCTGCCCATTTTTAAATAGTCTTTGCTTATTACTGAATTGTAATTGGAATTAAGAGCCTGTTATCAAATATATTTTCCAAATCTTTTCTTACAGTCAGTGGCTTTTCTTTTCTTTTTCTTAACAGTGTCTTTGTCTTTTTTTTGGTAATTTCTTTAATTTAAAAAAAAATGGTTTATGTACTATTTAAGAAATCTTTCACCCAACACCTAACTGGTTTGTCTTTTAATAAACACTATACGGGAGTGGGGTTGGAGGGATAGGAAAGAAAAATAAATTCTTGCCTAATCCAAGGTCATAAATATTTTCTCACATTTTTTCCCAGAAGCTTTATAGTTTCAGATTTTACATTTAGGTCTTTAATCTGTTGTGTGTGTGTGTGTGTGAGTGTGCTGTTGTTTGTTTCGGTATATGGTATGAGGTAGTGGTCAAGGTTCATTTTTTCCCCATGTGAACCATTTAATTGTGGCATCATTTGTTGAAAAGAATATCCTTTCCCCTATTAAATTCCTTTGGTACCATGGTGAAAACCCATTTTTATGTTTATTTCTAGGCTCTCTATCCTATTCTTCGATCTATATTATCCTTATGCCAAAAGCACACTATCTTGATTGCTATAGTTTTATAACTTGAAATCAGATAATGTAATTCCTACAAATTTGTTTTCAAAATAATTTTGGCGATTCTAGGTCCTATGCATTTCCCTATAAATTTTGGAATCATTTGTCAAATTCTATACACATACAAAACAAAAACAAAAACACAACTCTGCTGGAATTTTTATTGTGATTGATCAGTTTGGGGAGAATTGGCATCTTAACAGTAATGATTCTTTTATTTATTTATTTTTAAAAGTTTCTAATTTATTTTGAGAGAGTTTTGTTTGTTTTGTTTTCTGCACACGTTCATTGCATGTAGCCATATGACGTGCTTTGGACAGTAAACTGTGAAGGCAAATCACAGGCATTTCTTCTGCAAAGGAGTTTAAGAGCATTTGCTACATTATCTTCCCACTGCTGCAGTAATGGTAGAGACTCTTGTTGAGGTGAAGCATTGGACATAAGTGTGAGCAAGAAATTAACTTTTGTTGAGATTAGCCAAGAGAATTGGGGGCTGTTCATTATAGCCTAACAGAGAAAGTTCTTAGCCTCGGGACAAACTCTTTACCTTTATGGAGCTTACATTCTAGCGCCAGAGAAACAGATAAACACATCCACGTTACAATGTGAGGTAGAGACGAGCACAACACAGAACACAAAGCAGATACAGTGACACAGAGGGCCGGAGAATGGTTTAGCTTTAATGGCGAAGGCCTCCTTGAAAACAGAACAGCTGAGCTGAGACCTGAATGAAGTGAGGGAGGGAACCACGAGGTAGGTGTCTGGTGGGTGTTCCAGGTAGACAGCCAGGCACAGCGACAGGAACTCCGGACTCTCCTGGGCATGGGGGACTAGCACAGACCTGAAAGAGCAGCCCTCAAGGGAAGAAGAGAGAAGGGCACATCTACCCAATGGCCCCTGCGGCCCATTCTGGTTCTGTGGCAACCAGAAGCAGCTGCTGGACAGTAGACAACTTGTCGGCAACGGTCTTGCCAGCCTGCTTAGACACCACTGTCCCTTGACTCTCAAGATTTTGAACAGTGGTCAAAAAACGAAGAACTTTTTCCTGACATTCAGGCATAGAGTCTTGTTTTCTCTGAGAAAAAAAATGTCCCTGACCTTTGGGAGACCTCGTGACCATTATTTTCCTGGAAGTTATTCTCCACCTTAAAATTCATCAACAGCTTGCTACTGTCCTAAGGAAGAAGGCCAAACTCAACTGTTGTCTAGCTCTGTCACAGAATTCTGCTTCAGTCACACTGGGCTTATTTCAGTTCTTCCACTGGGCCCTCGTTTCTCTGAGCCTTGGCAAAAGCTGTTCCTTCTGTTAGGAACATTCTTCCTCCCTTGTCCTGGCTAACATCCCTCAAACACAGTTTAAATGTCAGTCCTCCTGGGAGTCTTCCCAGACTAGGTTAGATGCTTCTGTCGAATGCTATCTTAGCATCCTGTTCTTCTACCAACATAGCACTCGTCATACTGTATTGTAGCTTTAAAAATCGTCCATAATTCAGACATACAGAGAAGTATAAAAAATAATATAGGGAGCACCCCTATGCCTGTCACCCTAGTTGAGCAATAAAATATTGCCCGCTGAAGCCCGTCGTGCTAACATTTTGCTCCCTCCCTACTCCTAACCATTACTTGAATTTAGTGTTTATCTTTCCATGTGTCTCTATACTTTTATAATTTATGCAAATACACCTAAAGAACACGTAGTATTTTTTTCCCCTGGCTTTATACTTTACATATAAGTTATTACGAAGGTATGTCTGCAACTTGAATTTTTCTCCTCGGCCTTATGGGATTCATCCACGTTGATACATGTAACTCTAGATCATTTCTACAGCTGTATATATTATACAAGTTGCCCATTTTGTCCACTGATCGACATGTAGAGTGTTTACAGATTTTTGCAATTTCAAACCACTCTGCTACAAGCATTATTGTACCTGTCCCCTTATACGTACGACAGTCTCTCCGGGCAAATTGCTGGGAGTGCAACCGCGGAGTCATCGTGCCTGCGCGCCTCTAACTTTGTACCCGACACTGACGAAGAGCTCTTCAAAGTGGTGGTACCACGGAGTGGTTTCGAATGCGCATCTCTCCTGGAGGGTGAACGCCTTGGGGGCTGGGACTCTGCCCGTCTTGCTGACCATGGCATTTCCAGAACTGTGAGCAGCGGACGCTAACACCCGTTTGTATGGTGACTGACTGGACCCCGGAACTGAGCAGAACGTCGCTCAGGGGAGTGGCCAGAGCCTGGGGAGCAGTGGCTCGAGGCCTGCAGGAGGTCTCGCCCCCCAGGACAAGGAGCGCAGCGCATTGGGAGCGAATATCGGTTCCTTCCCCGCGCACGCGTCCCCCAGCCCCCGCCCCTAGGGGCCGGGCCCGACGCCAGGCCCGGCCCCCGGACCCTCCCGCACGGGCGGCCCCGCCCCCAGCTCGGCTTTGCCCCCGCCCCCGCGGGTGACTCAGGCGGTGACGGCAGCCGGGAGGGAGGCGATGACGGGCGCGCGGCCGTGCGCCGCGGAGGAGCGCAAGGTCCGGGAGCGCGGCGGCGGCGGCGGAGCGGCGGCCGAGGCGGCGGCGGGCGGCATGGACGGGGCGCGGGGCGCGGGCCGGGCGCTGGCCGCGCTGCTGCTGGCCGCGTCCGTGCTGAGCGCCGCGCTGCTGGCCCCTGGAGACTCCCCGGAGCGCGGTGCCGAGGCCGCCCCGCCGCGAGGTGAGTGCGCGCCGCGGCTCCGGCCCGGGCGGCTCCGCAGACCCCGCGCCGCCGCGCCCCCTCCCGCCGCGGGTTCCGCTGGGGGCGCGGCTGGCTGCGGACCGCGCGACTGTCCCCTCCCGGCCCGCGCAGCGCCGCGGGCGAACGCTTGGAAAAAGCAAGTCTCCGGAACTAGTTTTTGTTTCCTTTGCGTTGTAGTGAGCGTCCCCGGGCCGGGATTCTCTCGGTGTAGCGGCGTTTGGTCGCTGTCGCAGGCACGCGCGGGTCAGCCTCTCGGGCCTGGGGGACTAGCGCAGTGTGTGTGTTGTTGGGGGGGGGCCAACCTCAGCGCCCAAAGAGAGCCCACCCTAAAGGGAAACACGCGGGAGTGGCCGCAGGCCGCGGGGAGAGCCGCGGAGCTGAGCAGCCCTGCGCTCCGCAGACACGCCCGAGGCTGCGGGGCGCCGAGGTCTCCAGGCGACTCTTGTCTAAATAGTAAAATGCCTAAGAGTGGGAGACCTGTTACTCCCCAAATGCAAAGCTACAGAAGAGACGGACTGGCCAAGAAGCGGGGTGTATCCGACATCCAGCCCTCATCTCGCCTACGGTTTGCAGGGACTTGTGCGCACGTGAAGTCCGTTTCCTGAGGAGGACGGAGGACGTGGCGGGTGGCCTGCGCGGTGGGAAGGCAGGCGCGGGCCGCGGGAGTTGCGGGGCCCCGGAGCGCGGCAGCCCGGGTCCGCAGCCGGACGGCGAAGAGCGCCCGCCGCTCTGGGGTTAAACTCCCGAGTAAATGTCCGACCCAGAGGAAAAACTCAGATAGCGGCGGCGCGGGGAGGGTGTTGACGTGTTGACTGCAGGGGCTGGGTGTCCAAACTCGAAGCCCAGTCTCGAGCGCCGCGCCGTTAGGCAGATTTTACAGCTCTGGGGATGCAAGGGACAGTCGGCGCCGCGGTTTGCGGGAGTCCTGCGGTTTGCTGGGAAGCAGCGGAACCAGGTCCTTGGTCCAGTCCCCGGAGGGGCTGGACGGGGTATTTTTGCTGGCGGTGATTTTACTGTGCGGCTGGGAGTAGAAGCATCAGCTCCTCTAGTGTTTTCCTAATTTGCCTGGTGTCCGAACTTATCTTGGGGGGCTGATGGGGGGGGGGGATGGTGAAAAATACAAAGTGCGGGGCCTCCCCTAGACTCCCTGAAGAGGATCCCAGAAGATGATGGTCCCCAGCGCCTCCCTAGGGGAATCAGGGATTGTGGGGATCAGTCAACTGCAGCAAACACTATTTGCTCAGGGTTTGGGGACAGGTCTGCCTGTCTCCCCCCTCAACCCAACCCCTTTTCTGTATCTGAATAGGGGGTCTTGGTGTCAGTGCCTGTAGTTCAGATGACCCTTCCCCCACAATCAAAATCTTGTAGGGCAAAGACAAAATGAATTTTGGAGAAGCAGTTTAGCTGATAACATTTTGTATTCCTGCTTCCCCTACCCCTGACCTCAAGTCTCTCTACTCCCCTTCTTTATAATGGAGGAAAGGGACCCTAAGAGGTTACATAATCAGGCCATTCATAAGTTGTCAGGGACAGATCCTGTGCAAGGCTTTTTCTTTGTGTGTTAGCAGCAGTTAGTAACAATCATTTTATGAAAAAGGTGGTTTTTAAATAGTAATTCTATGTTGTGAGGGAGAACATATTAATATTTTTTTAAAGTTTATATATTGATTTTGAGGTGTGAGGAGCAGAGAGAATCCCAAGCAGGCTCTGCACTCTCAAAGCAGAGTCCAATTTGGGGCCCAAACTCACAAACCATGGGATGGTGACCTGAGCTGAAGTCAGAGTCCCAATAGGCTGAGCCACCCAGGCACCCCACATATTAGTATTCGTAGGTGGTCCACTCCAGAATCTTCACGCTGTGTTGAGAGGACAGCTGGGCTTTTAGTGCCACCTGGAGTCCAGGTTTGTGTTGGACAACTTCCTACCAAGAACTCCATCTTCATACGATTTGAGGACTCGTTTACTTCCAAAGGAAAAAAAAAATAAATAGAATATGTCTTTAAAAATTTGGCCCACAGGGGCGCCTGGGTGGTTTAGTGGGTTAAGTATCCAGCTTGGGCTCAGTTCATGATCTCATGGTTTGTGAGTTCGGCCCCTGCATCGGGCCCTGTGCTGACAGTGCAGAGCCTCCTTGGGATTCTCTCTGCCTGTCTCCCACTCACACTTCTGCTATCTCTCAAAATAAATAAATAAACTTAAGAAAAAGAATTTCCCCCCCTAACATACTCATGAGCGGAGAGCTAGAACCAGAAATGAAATATTTAGAAACAAAAGTTTGATATACAAACAGCACAGTTACTTGGGCACCTATTGAAAGGTGACTTTATTTGGTGTATGTCCTCACCAAGACACTGGACAGGAGAGGAGGAGAGAATTGTTCTTTTGTATATAATGCTTCTTGAGTGTTGTTCTGGTATTTCTTATATCAGCAGTATCACAATCCAGCAGCTTTAAAACATTTTTAATTTTTTTCTTTAAAATTTTTTAATTTTTTTCTTCAAAAAATTTTTTTTAATGTTTTTTTTTTTTCTTTCTGAGAGAGAGATAGTGTGAGCAGGGGAGGATCAGAGAAGAGAGCGAGACACAGGATCTGAAGCAGGCTCCAGGCTCTGAGCTGGCTGTCAGCACAGAGTCCAACGCAGGGCTCGAACCCATGAACCGTGAGATCATGACCTGAGCCGAAGTCGGACACCCAACTGACTAAAACCACTCAGGTGTCCCAGCAGCTTTTTCTTGAAACTGAGCATTTAAGTTCAATTTAGATGTCATATTGGATGGTTTGGGAGTTGCATCCTTATGATGACAGTTAAGAATTGTCAGAGTCTGAAATTCATATGGAAAACTGAAGCATAGAACAAGAACCTTACTCCATCCCTTACTAAGGACTCATAGGAATCTGAATAAAAGCATTATTCCAAGTATGAAGGGATGGTGATTTGTAAAACAGTTAAAAAGGTAAAGGTCAGTGGATAGTGACTATAAAATTCAAAATGAAAACTATTAAAACTGAACCAGGGAAGCTAAAGAGAAGTATTTGAAAACACAGTATGACATGTATGTATGACGGGTCTGACAAAGGATTTGATATCTGTGCTGTGTAAAGAAATGTTACAAGTCCTAAGAAGAGTGCCAAGAAGGAAGGGGTGTTAAATAAAAAAAACTCAGCTGAGTAAATGTGAAGAGCAAATTGTTTATTTAATAATTCATGAATTGGGCGGTATGCTGTCTAGCATATAGAAAGGAGCTCCCTCAAGCTGCAAGAAAGGAAAGGTTTTTAAAGCAGAGAGAGAGGAGCACCTGAGTCAGTCCGTTAAGCGGCCAACGTCAGCTCAGGTCATGGTCTCGTGGTTCATGAGTTCAAGCCCTGTGTCAGGCCCTGTGCTGACAGCTCAGAGCCTGGAGCCTGCTTCAGATTCTGTGCCTCCCTCTCTCTCTCTGCCCCTCCCCAGCTTGTGCTTTTGTCTTTGTCTCTGAATACTGAAGAAAAGTTTAAAAAAAAGAAAAAGGCAGAGAGCGTTAAAAAAGGAAATCATTAACAAAGAATGCATTTTAGGCCAGATGCTCTCCGAAGGGTAATGGAAGGGGACCCTCAGTGGATTAGCTTCTGGTGCTGACTAGGAAATTCCAGGTTGGCTGCCTAAAGGTCATTTTCTGGGAGAAGGTGAAGCTGCAGTTAGATTAGGTATTAAGTCTTGGTGGGGGTGTAGCATAAGTGACTCCATTTTGGGCTTGCTCTCTCTTTTCTAACACTCTCCATGTTTGATCAGACTCTCAGCTTAACTGAGAGATGTGACCAAAGTATAAGGCACTAATGCCACGCTCAGTTTTGTAGTTCTTACAGCTTTTTATGAAATTTTGTTGCTACTTTCTGTGGCATCCATAGGTCATGACAAGTTTTTTGTTTGTTTTAATCTCTGATATTATAGGCCACAACTTCAAGGTTTACAATCTTTAAGTTGGTCATTCTCTTCACTCCTTTTCTGATGTTCTTATATTAAGGAGATCATTTTCTGGGTGGTTAGTGACTGCAAACATGTACTGAGAGCTTTTGAGAGAATATAATGTGCCAGGGAAATAACTGATTATCATATAAGCAGGGTAATTCCCAGTGTCTGGAGTGCATTTCAGAGCCACATGGGTCCCCAAGACCCAAACCAGTTGATATCAAAATCAAGTAAGTCAAAGAAAAGACCCTATTGAAGGAGTCACCTTTGTAAGCCAAGTCACTTGCTCAGTGATCTTATGTAATTGAGTTTCAACTTTCAATTCAGGTGCAGCAGGTGGTTTTGGTCACAGTACAGACAACTCTTTTCTTGGCTAAACTATAACTAAGGGCTGTCCTACTATCAAGAACAATTTTAGGCAGAGTCTAAGGATCTTTATTGGGCAGCTCTTGTCTTAGCAATGCATTCTGCACGGTCTTTAAGAGTTACGGTGAGGCTTCTGATCATATTCTCATTTACACTTCCTCCTCCCTAGGGAAGTACGGCCCTGCCGAAGGAGGGGAGTGTGAGTCATGAATGCCTCCCAGTAATTCCTTTCTAACTTGACAGTGTAAATCCAGCAGAGTGGACCGGTGAGGTGTCGTAGTTCATTTGTGGAAAGTTCAGTTAACTAAACTAAGAGGCATTGCCCAGCTGTCTAGGCATTCACAATGACAACCCACCACAGACAGACTCTGTTGGGGCACAGATCACTTCCCGCTATAGTGGCACTGGTAATGGGTCCATTTCACTGGGATTGTTTGTATGTGCTTTTTCAAGCCAGAGGGTCAAGTAGGTTTCCTCTTAGCCTAAAATAGAAAGTTATTCTGAATTCTTAGAGATGCCCACCTTAGCAATGGCCTGGGAGATACAGGTAATGGCATTCCTTCTGGCCAGCGCTGGAGTAAAGGACAGAAAGGGAAGACGGGAGGGTTTCATGTTGAGTTCTTGATCTGGCATCTTGGGAGGAAGTAGTCTGCCTTGATATAGCTCCTT